GCCTTTTTAACCTCCTCCTCCTCTTTCTTTCTTGCTGCTCTTTACGGAACTCAGAGTGCGTCCAAAATGCATGTCGCAAAGGTACGGAGGGCTCAGCTCTCCACTGCACGCATTGCCATTGCCTTCCCCCCTCCACCCCATGTTTTGTGGGGCCTTGTGCATGTGGGGAAGGTTTGGAGAAGGGGGCCGCGGGGACCGTTGACGCCCAGCGTGATCATCCGTGCCTCTGCGTGGGAGAATTCCCAGGCTGCTGGACACCCAAGCGGGCGGCGTCTGGAGCCCCAGAAGATGGATAGACTGATTCCGTTTTTATTCCCCCCCGCCCCCCGGCAATCTTCCACCTGTATCCATCTACCAGCCATTGACCATGCTTCTTTTCTTTGCCTCCCCCCAAAAACAAAAACCTGGTGGTCTTTCTTCACGGGGGTGGGGTCCTGGGGCTCTGAACAGGGTTTCCGAGAGCGGTTTGTCTCTGGGGGGTCCCGTGGAGATGCCCTCCGCGAAGGAGCAGGTGGGGGGCACTGATGGACCTTTTTCCTGCTTCCCCAGCCTGGACCTTTCTGAGCTGGCCAAGGCAGCCAAGAAGAAGCTGCAGGCGGTGAGTGAGCCCCCGGGGCGTGGCTTGGTGCCCCATCACCAGCTCAGCCTTCCTTTCTCTTTAATGTGGGCAAGGGGAGGTCTCTAGCGAGTTGCCCCTGCCCATCTTGAAGTCTGGAAAGAGCTTCTCTGCCTTATCAGCCACTTGGGTGTGTAATGGGCAGGGGGAGAGGCATCAAAGGGCACGCGCCCTCCAGCAAAGTGGTGCAGAGCTCTGCCGTTGCTGTTTGTTTGGTACAGCCGCCTCCTTGGGCATCCTTTGGAGCTTGTTCTGCTAATCTTGGGAAGGGGCCGAGAACTGGGCACCAGGCACCCAAGCCCCCCCGTCCCACCAAAGCACCGTGCCCCAAGACCCCTCTCTAAACTGAACAGGAAGCCCCGTGGCTGACTCTTCTCCTCCCTCCCCTATAGCTCAGCAATCATCTCTTTGAAGAGCTCGCCATGGACGTGTACGACGAAGTGGATCGCCGCGAAAACGACGCTGGTAAAACCTCGAGTCTGTTTTCTGGGAGGTTGATCTGGGGATGATGGTCCACCTCTTCCGAGCCCTCTGCTCTCGCAATGATTAAGGACTAGAAACCTGCAGAGGCTTGCCAACTTCTCAGCTTCTTCACTGAAGGGGCAAGCCCGCTTTGGGAGCAGTCATCCAGGTTCCTTTGCTGAAGAGATTGGGTGTTGGCATGGGAGCGGGCTTTGGGGTAGCTTGGCTTACTTGCCCGAGCCACCCGCAGCAGAACATGGCATCTGTGTCTGATTGCTGCTTGGGGTTGGATGGGGTCAGTCTAAATGATCTTTTCCTCCTTGTTGGGTTCTAACAGACTCATCTCGGAAGGCTTGAAATGTGGTATCTAAAATTGCATTTCGTTAACTCTTTGCCCCCTTCCGGTGCACCTATTCTATTTAATTAGCACCTCTGCTGCTTCTGCTATGGCATGTTCACAGGCCCTTTTGTATAGCTTAGCGGAGCGTTTCATTGCTCCGTCCTGCTGGGCCTGGTTGTACTCCAAGCTCATCACCAGGGTCAAAATTTGGAAATCAAAAGAAATTAAAAAATGCAGAGTTTGAACGGAATAAAAACGACACCATGAGCAATTCTTATGCACGGCCCCCAAATCCAACTTCAAATCCTCACATCTGAGTGGGACTCAAGGACGGGAAAGATTTAGCTTCCACAATCTGGTGCCCTTCCAATGTGCTGGACTACCATGCCCATCATCCTATCCTCCACAAAGTATGCGGGAATCGCTGCAAGGAACTTTCAGGACTTTCATATCCCCAGTTGCATTTATTTACACATCATATCTCACCCTTCTGGGCTTAAAAACAAAACCGAGATGGCTTCTGGGTTAAAAAGCAGAGCTGCAGCAGAATTTTAAAAGGAGTGGATGCCAGAACAATAATAAAACATCTGCAAACCATTAAGCCAGTGTTTCTCAACCTTAGCCACTTTAAGCTGTGTGGACTTCAACTCCCAGAATTCCCCAGCCAGCATGAATTCTGGGAGTTGGAGTCCACCCATCTTAAAATGGCCAGTTTGAAAAACGCTGCTCCAGCCTGGACTTGGGCTTTCTCTTGTAAAACTAGGACCCCGAGAGGCAGCTCTTAATATGGGAGACTGATGCTGCCAGGGTTTAATAACCCTTCTGAGACCCCGTGAAGGTTGGAGACCGGGTTTCTCGAGAGCTGCAGTCCAGCATGCGTTGCTTGTGAGCGAAAACAAAATGGTCTGGGGAAGAAAAGGTGTTGCCTTTTTGGTGATTCCTCGGTTGTGAGCACAGCTGCAGGTCCGCCGTGGCCCTTTGCCTGCGGGAGAAACCGAAAAAAATCTGGGATGCCGTCAGAGTCGCGGCACTGAGTTGCCAGCAAAAAGTTGACATCACTGATGTCCATCGTCCCCCTTGCGTTTCCGTGTTTGGGGAGGAAAGGTTCTTGTGATGGGGGGGTGTTTTCAGGGGAACGCAGCAGGATTTCTCCCCACCTCATCGCTCCCGGAAAGGATGGCTCCCGTCGCTCTGCTGAAAACCGAGAGGCGCCAATGCGTTGTCCTGACTGATGCGTTTCAGCCCTTCTCTTCCGCGCTCTGGGGACGTGGAGCGTCTCCCCTCGATCTGCTGGGCAGCAGAGCACGTCGGAAACAGCTTTGCTTTAATTGACCGGGGCTCCCAGGGAGGGTGATTGGGAATGCAAGGGGCTGGATGAGGAACAGGGCCCCCATCTGAGGGGCTGTCTCGCTTCGTTGCAACGTGCCTCTAGTGCCCCTTCTTGCTTGAAATGGGTCCCCAGACCTCCCTAAGCTCTGGGGTGGCTTGCAGGGGAGGCGGGCTGCGCGTTGGCTAACCGTGCCTTTTGTTCTCTGCTTCCTGACCCCAAAAGTCTGGCTCACCACGCAGAACCACAGCACCCTGGTGACGGAGCGCAGCGCCGTCCCCTTCCTTCCGGTGAATCCCGAATATTCGGCCACGCGCAACCAGGTAACCGGGGAGGCACCATGCACTGGGAGGGGGTCTTCTGTGGGTGCCGCGGTGACCCAGGCAGGCCTGCCTGCCTCTCTTGGGCAGAGGGTGGAGGCAGATCCCGGTCCCCCAGTCCCACCTGAACCCGCATCTTCTGACTTGGCCTTCTGGTCTTCTGGATATGGGATACATCAGGCTTACGTGGGTCAGAGCCTCGTTGACCCAGTCTGGGTTCAAGCCTCGGCCACGTCAGATCTCCGGCGTGCATCCCCTGTCTTGGGAGGATTCTCACATGCAGATGGTTTTATTCTGGCGGGGGGGGCGTATTTTTAATTTTATTTTTCTTGTTAACTGCCAAGAGTCGTCACTAGTTGACAGCATAACAAATGTAATCAATGAAATAGGCTGTTTATATTTAGTGGAAGGATCAAAAGAATAACCTCTCTCTCCGTGTATAACAATTTTAAGGTCTTTTTGCGTTTTGGGACTGGAATTGAGGGATTTCGTTGCTGACTCCAGTCCTCACCCCTCCTGCCCTGGCACTGAGGGTCTTCCAACCAAGGCAGTTAACAGGAAAAATAAAATTGGGGCCGGAAGCACCAATAGCGCACTTTCATAAGGAATGATGTTTATAACTTGGGAGCTGCTGAGCGGTGGATAAAATTGGGAATATAGGTTAAAATGGCACGGAAATCCATGAGGTGCACAGGGGTGTTCACTGGGTGTGGTCAGAAGAGTCAAGATGGCACCCACAGCGGTGCAAATTGAGCTCCATCTGTTGTGCCACGCATAAAAAAAAGGTGGAGCTTTGATTGTGCTGTCACCATTGCCATCTTGACTTTTTCGACCACACCTTGCAGACGCCCCTGGAGGCAGAACCGTTTCAATCATGGCCACCTTTACGTGTCGCTTTGGCCCATCTCTTTCTTAACACCAAGACTGGCTTTTGGTGCCTGCTCAGAGTTGGGCATTTTGAGCTAGGAGTTGGTGCTTTCAACGCTGCTTCTGCCTGGGGCTGCGGTCCTCACCCTGTCCTTTCTCCGCTTGCCCCCAGGGTCGGCAGAAGCTTGCTCGCTTCAATGCCCGGGAATTTGCCACTCTCATCATCGACATCCTGAGCGAGGCCAAGCGGCGCCAGCAGGGCAAAGGCCTCACCAGCCCCACAGGTGGGTTTGGGGAGGGAGGCGGCAGTGGGGAGGCAGAGCCTGGCCGGCGGTGGGCCCTCTTCCCCTGCCGGTGACCCGTTTGCTCTTGCTGCAGAGGCCCTCGACTCCTCCGTCCACGGCCCCAGCGACTTTGATGACCAACACGATTACGACAGCGTGGCCTCTGACGAGGACACGGACCAGGAGCCCCTGCGGAGCGCGAATGCGGCGCGCAATAACCGTGCGCGGGTGAGCCTTCTTGAAAGGGTGGGTGAACGGAGGGCGGGCGGGCAGGCAGGCCTGGACTATAAGATGGATGGATGGATGGATGGATGGATGGATGGA